TGGGTAATTTGTATTCACATACAGACATCATATAATGTTTATTACAAAATTGGGATTCATACTTTTATCCCTTGCATTGCTGTTTAATGTCTCCAGAAACAGGGTTTTAATGTCTGTGTACTGTTCTATTACTTGTATGTACTGTGTTTTAACCATTCTCTTATAATTTGAAATATGTTGTTTTTATTTTCCCTGTATTATCACTTCTCAGTAAATATCCTTTTATATAAATTTCTGTATGTATTTCAGATGATTTTGTTAGGGGAAATTTTGGAAGTGTAGTTGGTAGGTTAAATGTACAAACTGCTGACATAACAGACAATTTATATCAACTTACACATATCCAGTAGGAGAGGTTAGGAGTGTTCCTTCCCCTACAACCTGGCTAACATAGACATAATTATTTAAAGGAAAACAAGTTAATGGGCTAGAAAAGCATCTCACTGATAATTTATATTTCTTAGGTTTTACATAGAACAGTTTTGCATGGCCATGCATATTTGTTTTTTTTATGTTACTGCTCAGTATGCTTTGATCAACATGGAATGAATCTAATACTTTGGGTACAATTTCACTGGGGGGAAGATTTTCAGAGGCCTGAAAATCTTTTTTTCACTAATGCCACTGATATTAGGGTAAACAGTACTTTTTTAAAACTAATTTTTTACTTGTAGTATAAAATAGTACATTCTTAATGGTCAGTGAAGAGTGTATAATTGGCGCTTACTGTTTTGTGCTTCTCTTCTTAGTTATCTTAAGGAACTCTTGGGAACTATCTTCATGGGCCAACTCTAGTGGCCACTCCTTTCTCATTTGTTTCTCTTTTCCTCCATCAACTCCATGTCTGGGGAGTGGAGGTGTTGGCTGACTGGCATCTTTTGGTAAGATTGGACCTCTGCCACCATATCTGCCTTCTGCTTTGTGAAATTTAGGGTCAGGTGCTCTCTCTGTTACCTGTGAGAGGCGTGTTTGACCTTTTGAATTGTCAGTAATAGTTTTAGAAAGTGCTAAGTTTTTATCAACAATGAAATACTAATCTAATTTCTATTTTTTATTATAATCAGATTCTTTAATGTCTTTAAAGTCCTTCAACCCTTATGACATGTAATTGAAGTCCTTTCATACGCTATAAAAGTGAATGTTTCATAAGCTATTAAAAAAAAACATGCACAATTCTCAGATATATCTCACCTTAAAATCTTGATATTTCTACAGGAGTTCCATCAGATGCAGGAGTTTGAACATCTTTTATTGCTCAAAGTAATTGAAATTAAAAGCTGAAGGCTTTGTGTGTGAAATTCATGCTGGAAAGTGTGATTTTTTTCTTATTAAAAGTATGTAATCCTTTATAGGGGTGAGAGGTTTTTTTTTTTAATGTGACAATTACAAATAATTTAGTTAATGCTGTTGTTAATTTTGTGTAATGCTGCTAAGATTTTCTGTTTTAAATTCACATATCCCATGTCTTTACTTGTTAATATTTATCAACTGATTATAATGTGTTTTCCATTAAGAAAAACTGCAAGGTACACATTCCTGTGGTAAAAGTATAGAAGTGTGGTGTGGAAAGTGAAACACAAAATCATTCTGGTAGTTATCCCAGGGGAGGTGGGGCAGGAGTAGTACTGGGTGGAGGGTAGTGTGAGAGGGTACTAAGACTTTATTTATAGTGTTCTAAATATTTAATTAAAAATATTAGAAGCACACGTGTCAGAGTGGGAAATAACAATATTAAGAATATATTCTTAAAAATAATAGGGAAATAAGGTGATAGAAATAGAATAAAGACAGAAATAGAAAAGAATAATAATAACATTCTAGGTAGTAGATACATGCATGCTTGTTATATTAGTCTCTACTATTTTATATTTTAAATATTTTCTCAAATTTTTAAAAATAACCATAAAATTTTCAGTTACCACTGCAGTCAAATTGAAACTCAGACTGTCTGCTCATTAGATGAGTCTGATACACGATTTATATCCATTGAAGTTGTGTGTAGATAACTGATTATTATTAAAAGTTTAGTGCTTAAAAAAATCAGGTTATCTCATAGATGGTTATCTTGTTTCCTGCTCTCACCAGTAGCCATTATAGTTAACATCTGGTTTTCAATGTTACCTTTTTATTCTGCGTGGTGGTATCCTAACTCCAATTTAGTTTCCAGAATTTTGACTTATTAAAATGAAACTCATTATACTTTTAGATACAAAATTTTGACAGATCCAGGCATAATTATTATTTTCCATTATACAAGAAGTAGAAGGAACAGGAAATAAAAATGCCTTTACTCTGAGGCCAATGGTTTGATTTGTTTTCAAGGCTCTTTATTATATGCAGCATAGATATGTCAGTTTTTTTCCTGGTGCCTAATACAGATTTCATATTGCTACTTGATTCCCAGCCTCCCTCATTTTGATATTTTTATGCTTAAATGAAATGAGAGGGGGTTGAAGAGGCTGTAGACAACATGTGAGCCATGACCTGCTGCTGCCTTTAATGATTTTTACTAACTGTTAAGATTGTTCGTTAGTGTTTAGGGGACAGCAGAGCAAAGTAGAATGAAGAGAATACTGAAGGTGGAGAAGCCTGGCTGAATCCTGGGTCTGCATCCTTGGTCTGCTACTTAAAATCATTATATGGTGTTGGACTTGTTACTTAACAGCTTCTCCTCAGCATCCTCGATAGATTAGGGGTTAACTGCCCATTTTAATAAGTTATTATGAGAATTAAGTTGGATTGTCTGTGTGAGCATCTATATAGTACTTAGCATTGTAGCAGGCTCTCAGAAAATGTTGATTTTTCCTGTTTTCACTAATGGAAAATGTTGGAAAGTACATTTACATAGAGCAAATGATTTTAGGTCATGTGGCATACATAAATTTATGGGTGTTCTCACATGAGTGCGCACAGGCATGCAAAGACACACACACACACACACACACACACACACACACACACACACACACACACACACACACA